TCAGTTGTTCCACACTGGAACGCTATCCAGGACCCACCAAACACCCCCTCTGTCCCCAACTAACCAAGCTCAGCCTTAGAGCTACCCTGCAGCTTTGGCTCAGTGACACCTCTGTCTAATAGAGTGCTGGGGTAGCCAACTGTGGGTTGGGGAGATTACCAACCCTGCTAGGAGCGCAGGTCAGTGGATCCTATGCTCTGCGTTGGATGTCCAAGCTAAGGCCTCTTGACAGAAACCCTGACTTGTTCAGGGTGGGATCATGGTCCATCGTCATCTCCAGAGCCAGAACAACTCCTTTCAAACCACAATCAAGGTGAAGCAAAGGGCATGCCCCAGTGTTCAGAGCTCCCAGCTCAGCTGGAGACATGCTCTGCACCTCTGAGTAAGAACAGAGCTGGAAGCTGCAGCACCATCACTCGCCAGGGGCCAAGAACACAGCAAGAGGAGGATGGCATGGATGGTCCTGGCAGCTTCAGAGGCAGGACCTTGTGCAGCTAGTGCAGAATGGACATGCCTAGGTGGAAAGCAGCTTGGGGTATGTGTGCTTAAGTACCTCCAAGTCCTTCATGACTCCAGGAGGTGGAGATGTGGCCAGTGGTTGTCAGGATTGGTCCTCTTGTAAGGTCTGTGGATCTTGGGGCTGATCAATCAGGTGGGCGGCAACCACATGCCATCCACATGACTGAAAGGGTCTGTCTCCTCTTGCTTGTGAGCTAGTCCAGCTCCAAGTTTCCCAGTGACTTGCACATGCACACAGCGCTCCCACCAGTCGCTGGCCCTAGACACTGGGTGTTTCCAACTGGGGGGTCCCCCGACCTGTGTTCCCTCCTGCCATTGCTAGCAGCCAGGCCTCTGGGCCCACCCCACCCCGGGGACAGAGCGGAGCCGCACAGAGAAAGGTTTGGAATCACTCTCAACAAGAAGGTAGGACGGGTTGTGGTGGTTACGTGCAAGGCTCAGCCAAACAAGCAATCCAACTAGCAGCTTAGGGGTGACTGGCTCCTTGATCCCCCTTTCTCTCCATTTTCCATGCTTTTATATCCCACTCACCTGCCTTGAGTGCTCCCTTTCTCCACCCTTGTGTCCTCCCAAATGAGGGACCTACCTGTGATTGTTTTTTCCCCCTTGCTCCCAGGTTAGCTAGGCTTGTGAACAGATTTGGTGTCCCAGGTGACATTAGTTAGATCACCTTGGACTTCTGTGGCATTACTGATGTGGTTTCCTGGCTACTGCTGTCCCTGCCAGACTCCTCTCCCCAAAATGACCCCAACCATTCCTTCATGTATCTGTGAAGTGTGGCCACCTCTCACATAATTCTCCTTTAACCACGTCCAAAATCTGGTGCTGGAATAGCAGAGTATCCACAGAAGACAAGTCTTCTCTAAGGCCTTCTTCTGCCTGCTCTAAGCAGATATGGGGCACCACCTTCAGGTCAATTTTCAAAAAACAAATCAGCCTTGAGTTCAGTTTGAGGCCCAGTCCTGCTGCCTGTAGGGCCTTGATAGCAGCTATTCCATTTTCAGACAGAGCCTGGCCTGCCATCCTAAGGACCAGGTTGTGCACTCAGTTGTGTGCCTTACATATATCCACACAAGCCAGGACGGCAGCAGGAAGCTCCTGCACTTTTCACAAGCGTTGAGGCTGCCGTTCTTCAAGCTACCACCTCCAGGAACCTAGCCCCACTCAGCAAAGGCAGCGCACGTGGCTGGCTCCTGCTTTTCTCCCATGACTGCCCTGTGCTCCATCAGGTGAGCAAGGCTCCACCATCTGCTGTGGAAGGGAGCCTGATGAGATTAGGCTGATACAGGATTTACCAAAGTCACGGAGAATGGCATGTGGAGAGTGGAGCTGAATGGAGAGTGAGGATGAAAGCAGGAGCATCCTTCTTTTCTAGAGCTTGACATTGCAAGACCTTGGCCACGCATACCGGGTGCCACAACTGCCCTTGTCTACCTTGTCCCAGAGCAGCAACAGAACTCATAGACAGCAAGGACATGAAGCCTGTCAGTGGATGTTGCTATGGCTGACATAGCCAGTGTGGACTGTCCTGCATCTGCGTTTCACTGTGCTGTGTGCACGAAGGTTGACGTTGCTTGGGTCTGCTTGGCTTATTTGCCTTGCACATCACTGCTTGCCTGCAGCGGCTGTAACCAGATTGGCTCTACAACACCCAAACTTGTGCATACTGCCTGCGGTAGTTGTGTTCTCTGGTGTCTGTTTTTGGGAAGGACCTGGTGGCAAAAGGCTGCAGAGAGCGGGGTGGCAGTGAATGAACTTCCCAAAGAGGCTGTGATGCCACACTTGTTTTTTTCCTGCTAGCCATGAGCAGGCAGTGCTTGGAGCCAGGCGCTGCTGCCTGCCACGGGGCCTACACACCCTCATCCCGCAGGCAGAGCAGTGGGTGGGGGTCTGCCGGGGGCGTCCGATCCCGGCTTCTGCCTCCCCTCCTGCTTCGAACCTGCCCCGTCCCCCCCGTCCCCGTCCCCGTCCCCCCCCAAGGGGCCACCGTGCCTAGCACCCGGAACCAGTGACTCTGTGACATCAGCCCTGTTGCTGAGGGCACCGCGGGCAACGTGAGTGCTGCGGGCACTGTGTCGGCTGCTGCGCCACTGGCAACGAGCCCTCGGTTCCTACAGCCCGCACGTGCTGCTGGTAGCGATGCGCTTGCTCCCCCTCCTCGTCCTGCTGGCCGTGTGCTGGCCTGCGCGTGGCACATGGGACAACTGTGGGTAAGTGGCCCGAGGCTCTGGGAGGGAGCTGGGGCAACCCTTGTGGGCTTCACTGGAGGGTGCCTGCTTGTCCCCCGTGGCCACACCACAGCTTCCCGAACCCCACGTGGAAGCCTCGGTTCCTTGCAGCACTCAGGCTGCTGGCCCAGCTCGTCTACGGGGCTAAGGCAGGAACGGGCCAACGTCCGCACGCCGCACGGGCTTCCCTGGCCCTGCTGTCCGTGCAACACCTGTGGGGAGGGAGGATGGCTGAGCTTCAGCCTGAACAGCAGCGAGTCATCGAACAGGACGGTAACGAGTTTCTGGTTACAGAGGGACCTGCGGGCTCCGGCCCATGGCTTCTTACTACGGCATGTCGCGTGTCGTGGGTGGCACAAGCTCCCACCCAGGGGCCTGGCCCTGGATCGTCAGCATCCAGAATCCCTGGCTAGCAGGTGTGGGGCATATATGCGGAGGGTCCCTCATCAGCCCACAGTGGGTTCTCACAGCAGCCCACTGCTTCGTCGAGGCCAGGTAAGGAGGACCAGGGAACGGGGATATCCCCACAGCACTCACAGGTGCCCTGTCCGCAGCACCACCTGCTACTCCCATCCCGTTTCCAGCACTGCAGAGCCCGGCTGAGAGACTGTTCAGGAGGAGGCTGCGCTGCTGCCACTGCTTCCTCGCAGCCTCCGGCTCGACATGCCTCGAGCTGAAGGCATGCTAGGGCAGTCGCACCTTCTGTAGCGCTGCTTTTCTCTCTCCCCTGTGAAGCAGAACGCAGGGAACTGCTGGGCTGCTGCAGCACATGTCTCTGCTCCCTTTAAGCCCTCTCTCCATCTGCCTTCCAGGGACATCAGGACGTGGCGTGTGGTGGTCGGGACCACCTACTTGACTCAGCTGGGCCCTGAGTCCCAAGTGCGCGGTATTAGGCGGCTGGTGGCTCACCAACGCTATAGTAGTATCTCGCAGAGGAACGACATTGCGTTGCTGGAATTGGACCAGCCTGTACAGTGTGGCTACTATGTACAGCTTGCCTGTGTGCCCAACGCCTGGCTGAAAGTGTCAGAGCTGACAGACTGCTACGTCAGTGGCTGGGGTTCCACACATGCAAAATGTAAGTTCCTGCAGAATCCTTGTGTCCCAAGTGCAAGCTCGGCACACCGGGGAGGCGGGCTGGGCTTCCTCACAGCAGAGGCAAAAGCCAGAGTCGGCATGTAGGGACGTATGCCTGTAGAGAGATGGGCCTGGCCCACTACCCAAAGCCAGACAGAAGGGAAACACCGGTACAGTGCCTCTCACGACACAAAGCCGAGCCCTAGGGAAGGGGTTCACCCAGGCAGGGAAGGAGAACTGGCAACAACCTCCTGAGTGTTACCTCCTTTCTGTGCTCACAGCTGGAGGATCAACTGCTGTCCTGCAGGAAGCCAGGGTCCCCCTCATCGATGTCAACCTCTGTAACAGCAGCCAGTGGTACAGAGGAGCCGTCCACACCCACAACCTGTGTGCTGGCTACCCGCAGGGCGGCATTGACACCTGCCAGGTAGGCTCACCTCCCCTTCCCTCTCTGCAGGTTCTCGCCCAGTGCCCCATCTGTCTCAGAGGCCGGGGACTCTGCCCAGAAAGCCCATCCGGTGCTGCTGGCAGCCCGTAGGCCCAGATCCCAATCCTGGAACATCCCCCTTCCACACATCCAGCATCACAGTGCAGAGAGGAGAGAGAGCACACCCTGCCTTACAGGCCTGTGGCTTCTTCCTAGAAAAGTTTCTGTAGGCTCCAGCAGCTGCAGAGCCTTTCTGTGCAGTGAATACAGCGCTGGCAGGTGCTGTGGGAGAGAAGCAGCCAGCCCTAGTGCTGACAGTGGCCACCTAACACCCCCTTCATCCTCTCTCCTCCGCTGCAGGGTGACAGCGGTGGTCCTCTCGTCTGCAAAGATAAAAATGCTGACTACTTCTGGCTTGTTGGAGTGACCAGCTGGGGGAAAGGCTGTGCGAGAGCGAAACGGCCTGGAATCTACACCTCCACTCAGCACTTCTACGACTGGATCCTGACACAGATGGGATTTCGCTCAGCAGCAAGGGCTTCTCCAACATCAGGGGCATGGAGTCATTTTCTCACTGCCTCAACCCCTTATCAGAGGCCAACACCAACACAATCGGGCAAGTTTAGCTCCTGCCCCTTTCCCCTTGGGAAGCTGGTGGAATTCTTTTCTCGGGCGCAGGAGCTCCTGCTGTTCCTAAAGGAAAAAAAGGCTTGAGCAACAGGATGAAGAGGATCCAGTGCAGGCTTGCAGCGTACCACGACCATTTCTTTCTGGGGCACTGCCTGCTGAGCCAAAGGCAGCCTCAGTGTCAAAGGCCTGCTCCGTCCTGCCCACGCTCCTCCGAGCACACACCAGTGCTGAAGTTGACACAGTTCTTGAAATAAACTCACCAGTTTTCACAGCTAACCATACTTCAGGCCAATTCAGTCTCCAGCGCAAGGCAGGGACTTCCATGCCTGGCACCTGCACAATGCGGCTGCGGGCAGACAAGTGGGGCACAAAGGGAAAGAGCCACAAAAGGGGCCAAAACTCTGCCTGGTCAGAGAGGATGATGCTTAGAGTCACCATGGGATGGAGGAGACTGGCATATCATGGCTAGAAAGAAAAGAGGAAAAATTGACGTGACATGCAGAAACTTTCGGGTATGCATTAAGGCACACAAGCTGATGATCTGGGCCTGGCATAAACCATAGCTAACTGAACATATCACGGGATAATTCTGAGCATAACAAGAGAAATTACCGACATAAGATTCGGCTGCCATGGTATGGGGGAACTGGAATGAGGCATTGGTTGTCTGGAACAAAAGGGATGTGGTGTGGCATTGCCAGGTGAGACCCCGGTGACCTGAAGTAAGGCAAGAGGTGGGTGCTGCTCTGGAGAGGACCCAGTGCAGTCCTTGTTCCTGTGATTCAGCAATGCCCTTCCCTTGTGGGCAGAAACTTCACAGGGTTCAGTCCAGGAGCGTGCAGCAGCCCAAATATACCCCGGTTCCCTTTGTGTGAGTGGCATTGGTCTGGTGCCCTGCTTAAGAGTCTCACACACCTTGGCTTCTTTACCTGCCCCGTGTCTCCTGCCTTATGAGGCTGAAAAGGATGGCGGTGTCACTAGCTGGCACCATGTCTCACTTGTCATGGCCCCACTGGCAGCATCAGGGAAGGGGTAGTGTGAGCCTGTGAAACCGAGGGTAGGTGGTTCTCTCTTGCAGCCCATCCACCTTGCGGATGGCACGTGGAGGCAGTTCTGGCCTTCTGAAGTGTGGGAAGGGCACAACATACGAAGGTGGCATGCGGGAACCAGCAGTGGCTTATTGGCCAGGCCATATCACTCCAGGTAAGACTTGGCACTGCTTGTGCCTTTTGCATGCTGATGCCAGCCAAGGCAGGGTGTCATGGCAGCTTGGCTGCCCAGGAACAAGCAGAGGACTGGAGAGAGGTGAGGACGGCGGGATTGAAGTGGGATCAGGTGCTTGAACCTTTTCTTGTGCCTTGCTGTGGTGGGTGACAGGAGTGACACATGAACTGGCAAGCACCCTGGACATCCTGCCAACACTGGCTACCCTGGCTGGAGCAGCTCTTCCCAAAGTTGCCCTGGATGGCTATGACCTGAGTCCAGTGCTGTTTGGGTCAGGGAAGGTGAGTCCTGCGGGCTGGTTCAGCTGGCATTGTGCATGAAAGCTGGGTGTGGGGCTGAAGCTGTGTGCCTGATGAGTACAACCAGCTGGGGGTCAGGGGAGATCCATGAGCTGGGACCTTTTGTCTGGCCTGGGTCATGCCATGGAATTCCTCGGCTTCCCCAGGCTGCTCTGCTCTGACAACTGCAACATATTGCTGGGCCAAACCCCCATGGGCGCAGTGGATGGACAGCCCCAGTAGCTTGGAGTAGGGAACAAACAGGATGCTGCTGCTCGTCAGCTTCCCCCCTCTCTGGCCATGTTCTTGCTGTAGTATCAGGGCTCCTGTGTGACTCCCTGGAGTCTCTGCCTGGTCATGTTCCAGACTTTTCTTCAGCCTCATGGCTGCACAGGTGAGCTTAGTTCTGCTACTTCCCGCAGAGTCCTCGGCAGACAATGTTCTTCTACCCGCCATCCCCTGATCCGCTGCACGGCCCCTTTGCTGTCAGGCTTGGGAAGTACAAGGCCCATTACTTCACACAAGGTTAGTGCTGCCTCCTCTTATCTACACAGTCGACTTTGTGAAGTCCCATATGGTTTTGCTGTCCAAACCTCAAAGAGAAGAAACTGGGCTATGCCTGGGGGTCTCTTTTGCAGGTTCCTTTCACAGCGATACGACCCCAGACCAGGCCTGCCACGGGCTGACCCCGCTGACCCCTCACTTGCCCCCGCTGCTCTTTGACTTGGAGTCAGACCCAGCTGAGAACTATGATCTGCTGCAGAGTGGCGCAGGGCCGGAGGTTCTGCAAGTCCTGAAGGAGATCAAACTGCGGAAAGTGCTTTTGGAGCAGCAAATGGGGTTTGGAGAAAGCCAGATCAGGAAGGGCAGGGATCCCGCCCTGCAGCCCTGCTGCGTACCAAACTGCACTCCTAAGCCTTCCTGCTGCTACTGCTCCTAGCTTCTTGCTGCTCCATCCCCTTCAGTTGTTCCACACTGGAACGCTATCCAGGACCCACCAAACACCCCCTCTGTCCCCAACTAACCAAGCTCAGCCTTAGAGCTACCCTGCAGCTTTGGCTCAGTGACACCTCTGTCTAATAGAGTGCTGGGGTAGCCAACTGTGGGTTGGGGAGATTACCAACCCTGCTAGGAGCGCAGGTCAGTGGATCCTATGCTCTGCGTTGGATGTCCAAGCTAAGGCCTCTTGACAGAAACCCTGACTTGTTCAGGGTGGGATCATGGTCCATCGTCATCTCCAGAGCCAGAACAACTCCTTTCAAACCACAATCAAGGTGAAGCAAAGGGCATGCCCCAGTGTTCAGAGCTCCCAGCTCAGCTGGAGACATGCTCTGCACCTCTGAGTAAGAACAGAGCTGGAAGCTGCAGCACCATCACTCGCCAGGGGCCAAGAACACAGCAAGAGGAGGATGGCATGGATGGTCCTGGCAGCTTCAGAGGCAGGACCTTGTGCAGCTAGTGCAGAATGGACATGCCTAGGTGGAAAGCAGCTTGGGGTATGTGTGCTTAAGTACCTCCAAGTCCTTCATGACTCCAGGAGGTGGAGATGTGGCCAGTGGTTGTCAGGATTGGTCCTCTTGTAAGGTCTGTGGATCTTGGGGCTGATCAATCAGGTGGGCGGCAACCACATGCCATCCACATGACTGAAAGGGTCTGTCTCCTCTTGCTTGTGAGCTAGTCCAGCTCCAAGTTTCCCAGTGACTTGCACATGCACACAGCGCTCCCACCAGTCGCTGGCCCTAGACACTGGGTGTTTCCAACTGGGGGGTCCCCCGACCTGTGTTCCCTCCTGCCATTGCTAGCAGCCAGGCCTCTGGGCCCACCCCACCCCGGGGACAGAGCGGAGCCGCACAGAGAAAGGTTTGGAATCACTCTCAACAAGAAGGTAGGACGGGTTGTGGTGGTTACGTGCAAGGCTCAGCCAAACAAGCAATCCAACTAGCAGCTTAGGGGTGACTGGCTCCTTGATCCCCCTTTCTCTCCATTTTCCATGCTTTTATATCCCACTCACCTGCCTTGAGTGCTCCCTTTCTCCACCCTTGTGTCCTCCCAAATGAGGGACCTACCTGTGATTGTTTTTTTCCCCCTTGCTCCCAGGTTAGCTAGGCTTGTGAACAGATTTGGTGTCCCAGGTGACATTAGTTAGATCACCTTGGACTTCTGTGGCATTACTGATGTGGTTTCCTGGCTACTGCTGTCCCTGCCAGACTCCTCTCCCCAAAATGACCCCAACCATTCCTTCATGTATCTGTGAAGTGTGGCCACCTCTCACATAATTCTCCTTTAACCACGTCCAAAATCTGGTGCTGGAATAGCAGAGTATCCACAGAAGACAAGTCTTCTCTAAGGCCTTCTTCTGCCTGCTCTAAGCAGATATGGGGCACCACCTTCAGGTCAATTTTCAAAAAACAAATCAGCCTTGAGTTCAGTTTGAGGCCCAGTCCTGCTGCCTGTAGGGCCTTGATAGCAGCTATTCCATTTTCAGACAGAGCCTGGCCTGCCATCCTAAGGACCAGGTTGTGCACTCAGTTGTGTGCCTTACATATATCCACACAAGCCAGGACGGCAGCAGGAAGCTCCTGCACTTTTCACAAGCGTTGAGGCTGCCGTTCTTCAAGCTACCACCTCCAGGAACCTAGCCCCACTCAGCAAAGGCAGCGCACGTGGCTGGCTCCTGCTTTTCTCCCATGACTGCCCTGTGCTCCATCAGGTGAGCAAGGCTCCACCATCTGCTGTGGAAGGGAGCCTGATGAGATTAGGCTGATACAGGATTTACCAAAGTCACGGAGAATGGCATGTGGAGAGTGGAGCTGAATGGAGAGTGAGGATGAAAGCAGGAGCATCCTTCTTTTCTAGAGCTTGACATTGCAAGACCTTGGCCACGCATACCGGGTGCCACAACTGCCCTTGTCTACCTTGTCCCAGAGCAGCAACAGAACTCATAGACAGCAAGGACATGAAGCCTGTCAGTGGATGTTGCTATGGCTGACGTAGCCAGTGTGGACTGTCCTGCATCTGCGTTTCACTGTGCTGTGTGCACGAAGGTTGACGTTGCTTGGGTCTGCTTGGCTTATTTGCCTTGCACATCACTGCTTGCCTGCAGCGGCTGTAACCAGATTGGCTCTACAACACCCAAACTTGTGCATACTGCCTGCGGTAGTTGTGTTCTCTGGTGTCTGTTTTTGGGAAGGACCTGGTGGCAAAAGGCTGCAGAGAGCGGGGTGGCAGTGAATGAACTTCCCAAAGAGGCTGTGATGCCACACTTGTTTTTTTCCTGCTAGCCATGAGCAGGCAGTGCTTGGAGCCAGGCGCTGCTGCCTGCCACGGGGCCTACACACCCTCATCCCGCAGGCAGAGCAGTGGGTGGGGGTCTGCCGGGGGCGTCCGATCCCGGCTTCTGCCTCCCCTCCTGCTTCGAACCTGCCCCGTCCCCCCCGTCCCCGTCCCCGTCCCCCCCCAAGGGGCCACCGTGCCTAGCACCCGGAACCAGTGACTCTGTGACATCAGCCCTGTTGCTGAGGGCACCGCGGGCAACGTGAGTGCTGCGGGCACTGTGTCGGCTGCTGCGCCACTGGCAACGAGCCCTCGGTTCCTACAGCCCGCACGTGCTGCTGGTAGCGATGCGCTTGCTCCCCCTCCTCGTCCTGCTGGCCGTGTGCTGGCCTGCGCGTGGCACATGGGACAACTGTGGGTAAGTGGCCCGAGGCTCTGGGAGGGAGCTGGGGCAACCCTTGTGGGCTTCACTGGAGGGTGCCTGCTTGTCCCCCGTGGCCACACCACAGCTTCCCGAACCCCACGTGGAAGCCTCGGTTCCTTGCAGCACTCAGGCTGCTGGCCCAGCTCGTCTACGGGGCTAAGGCAGGAACGGGCCAACGTCCGCACGCCGCACGGGCTTCCCTGGCCCTGCTGTCCGTGCAACACCTGTGGGGAGGGAGGATGGCTGAGCTTCAGCCTGAACAGCAGCGAGTCATCGAACAGGACGGTAACGAGTTTCTGGTTACAGAGGGACCTGCGGGCTCCGGCCCATGGCTTCTTACTACGGCATGTCGCGTGTCGTGGGTGGCACAAGCTCCCACCCAGGGGCCTGGCCCTGGATCGTCAGCATCCAGAATCCCTGGCTAGCAGGTGTGGGGCATATATGCGGAGGGTCCCTCATCAGCCCACAGTGGGTTCTCACAGCAGCCCACTGCTTCGTCGAGGCCAGGTAAGGAGGACCAGGGAACGGGGATATCCCCACAGCACTCACAGGTGCCCTGTCCGCAGCACCACCTGCTACTCCCATCCCGTTTCCAGCACTGCAGAGCCCGGCTGAGAGACTGTTCAGGAGGAGGCTGCGCTGCTGCCACTGCTTCCTCGCAGCCTCCGGCTCGACATGCCTCGAGCTGAAGGCATGCTAGGGCAGTCGCACCTTCTGTAGCGCTGCTTTTCTCTCTCCCCTGTGAAGCAGAACGCAGGGAACTGCTGGGCTGCTGCAGCACATGTCTCTGCTCCCTTTAAGCCCTCTCTCCATCTGCCTTCCAGGGACATCAGGACGTGGCGTGTGGTGGTCGGGACCACCTACTTGACTCAGCTGGGCCCTGAGTCCCAAGTGCGCGGTATTAGGCGGCTGGTGGCTCACCAACGCTATAGTAGTATCTCGCAGAGGAACGACATTGCGTTGCTGGAATTGGACCAGCCTGTACAGTGTGGCTACTATGTACAGCTTGCCTGTGTGCCCAACGCCTGGCTGAAAGTGTCAGAGCTGACAGACTGCTACGTCAGTGGCTGGGGTTCCACACATGCAAAATGTAAGTTCCTGCAGAATCCTTGTGTCCCAAGTGCAAGCTCGGCACACCGGGGAGGCGGGCTGGGCTTCCTCACAGCAGAGGCAAAAGCCAGAGTCGGCATGTAGGGACGTATGCCTGTAGAGAGATGGGCCTGGCCCACTACCCAAAGCCAGACAGAAGGGAAACACCGGTACAGTGCCTCTCACGACACAAAGCCGAGCCCTAGGGAAGGGGTTCACCCAGGCAGGGAAGGAGAACTGGCAACAACCTCCTGAGTGTTACCTCCTTTCTGTGCTCACAGCTGGAGGATCAACTGCTGTCCTGCAGGAAGCCAGGGTCCCCCTCATCGATGTCAACCTCTGTAACAGCAGCCAGTGGTACAGAGGAGCCGTCCACACCCACAACCTGTGTGCTGGCTACCCGCAGGGCGGCATTGACACCTGCCAGGTAGGCTCACCTCCCCTTCCCTCTCTGCAGGTTCTCGCCCAGTGCCCCATCTGTCTCAGAGGCCGGGGACTCTGCCCAGAAAGCCCATCCGGTGCTGCTGGCAGCCCGTAGGCCCAGATCCCAATCCTGGAACATCCCCCTTCCACACATCCAGCATCACAGTGCAGAGAGGAGAGAGAGCACACCCTGCCTTACAGGCCTGTGGCTTCTTCCTAGAAAAGTTTCTGTAGGCTCCAGCAGCTGCAGAGCCTTTCTGTGCAGTGAATACAGCGCTGGCAGGTGCTGTGGGAGAGAAGCAGCCAGCCCTAGTGCTGACAGTGGCCACCTAACACCCCCTTCATCCTCTCTCCTCCGCTGCAGGGTGACAGCGGTGGTCCTCTCGTCTGCAAAGATAAAAATGCTGACTACTTCTGGCTTGTTGGAGTGACCAGCTGGGGGAAAGGCTGTGCGAGAGCGAAAACGGCCTGGAATCTACACCTCCACTCAGCACTTCTACGACTGGATCCTGACACAGATGGGATTTCGCTCAGCAGCAAGGGCTTCTCCAACATCAGGGGCATGGAGTCATTTTCTCACTGCCTCAACCCCTTATCAGAGGCCAACACCAACACAATCGGGCAAGTTTAGCTCCTGCCCCTTTCCCCTTGGGAAGCTGGTGGAATTCTTTTCTCGGGCGCAGGAGCTCCTGCTGTTCCTAAAGGAAAAAAAGGCTTGAGCAACAGGATGAAGAGGATCCAGTGCAGGCTTGCAGCGTACCACGACCATTTCTTTCTGGGGCACTGCCTGCTGAGCCAAAGGCAGCCTCAGTGTCAAAGGCCTGCTCCGTCCTGCCCACGCTCCTCCGAGCACACACCAGTGCTGAAGTTGACACAGTTCTTGAAATAAACTCACCAGTTTTCACAGCTAACCATACTTCAGGCCAATTCAGTCTCCAGCGCAAGGCAGGGACTTCCATGCCTGGCACCTGCACAATGCGGCTGCGGGCAGACAAGTGGGGCACAAAGGGAAAGAGCCACAAAAGGGGCCAAAACTCTGCCTGGTCAGAGAGGATGATGCTTAGAGTCACCATGGGATGGAGGAGACTGGCATATCATGGCTAGAAAGAAAAGAGGAAAAATTGACGTGACATGCAGAAACTTTCGGGTATGCATTAAGGCACACAAGCTGATGATCTGGGCCTGGCATAAACCATAGCTAACTGAACATATCACGGGATAATTCTGAGCATAACAAGAGAAATTACCGACATAAGATTCGGCTGCCATGGTATGGGGGAACTGGAATGAGGCATTGGTTGTCTGGAACAAAAGGGATGTGGTGTGGCATTGCCAGGTGAGACCCCGGTGACCTGAAGTAAGGCAAGAGGTGGGTGCTGCTCTGGAGAGGACCCAGTGCAGTCCTTGTTCCTGTGATTCAGCAATGCCCTTCCCTTGTGGGCAGAAACTTCACAGGGTTCAGTCCAGGAGCGTGCAGCAGCCCAAATATACCCCGGTTCCCTTTGTGTGAGTGGCATTGGTCTGGTGCCCTGCTTAAGAGTCTCACACACCTTGGCTTCTTTACCTGCCCCGTGTCTCCTGCCTTATGAGGCTGAAAAGGATGGCGGTGTCACTAGCTGGCACCATGTCTCACTTGTCATGGCCCCACTGGCAGCATCAGGGAAGGGGTAGTGTGAGCCTGTGAAACCGAGGGTAGGTGGTTCTCTCTTGCAGCCCATCCACCTTGCGGATGGCACGTGGAGGCAGTTCTGGCCTTCTGAAGTGTGGGAAGGGCACAACATACGAAGGTGGCATGCGGGAACCAGCAGTGGCTTATTGGCCAGGCCATATCACTCCAGGTAAGACTTGGCACTGCTTGTGCCTTTTGCATGCTGATGCCAGCCAAGGCAGGGTGTCATGGCAGCTTGGCTGCCCAGGAACAAGCAGAGGACTGGAGAGAGGTGAGGACGGCGGGATTGAAGTGGGATCAGGTGCTTGAACCTTTTCTTGTGCCTTGCTGTGGTGGGTGACAGGAGTGACACATGAACTGGCAAGCACCCTGGACATCCTGCCAACACTGGCTACCCTGGCTGGAGCAGCTCTTCCCAAAGTTGCCCTGGATGGCTATGACCTGAGTCCAGTGCTGTTTGGGTCAGGGAAGGTGAGTCCTGCGGGCTGGTTCAGCTGGCATTGTGCATGAAAGCTGGGTGTGGGGCTGAAGCTGTGTGCCTGATGAGTACAACCAGCTGGGGGTCAGGGGAGATCCATGAGCTGGGACCTTTTGTCTGGCCTGGGTCATGCCATGGAATTCCTCGGCTTCCCCAGGCTGCTCTGCTCTGACAACTGCAACATATTGCTGGGCCAAACCCCCATGGGCGCAGTGGATGGACAGCCCCAGTAGCTTGGAGTAGGGAACAAACAGGATGCTGCTGCTCGTCAGCTTCCCCCCTCTCTGGCCATGTTCTTGCTGTAGTATCAGGGCTCCTGTGTGACTCCCTGGAGTCTCTGCCTGGTCATGTTCCAGACTTTTCTTCAGCCTCATGGCTGCACAGGTGAGCTTAGTTCTGCTACTTCCCGCAGAGTCCTCGGCAGACAATGTTCTTCTACCCGCCATCCCCTGATCCGCTGCACGGCCCCTTTGCTGTCAGGCTTGGGAAGTACAAGGCCCATTACTTCACACAAGGTTAGTGCTGCCTCCTCTTATCTACACAGTCGACTTTGTGAAGTCCCATATGGTTTTGCTGTCCAAACCTCAAAGAGAAGAAACTGGGCTATGCCTGGGGGTCTCTTTTGCAGGTTCCTTTCACAGCGATACGACCCCAGACCAGGCCTGCCACGGGCTGACCCCGCTGACCCCTCACTTGCCCCCGCTGCTCTTTGACTTGGAGTCAGACCCAGCTGAGAACTATGATCTGCTGCAGAGTGGCGCAGGGCCGGAGGTTCTGCAAGTCCTGAAGGAGATCAAACTGCG